GCTATACTTAGCCACCTTGTTTGCCAACGATGCTCTTAGTAGGCACATGAAGCGGACGGTATCGGGCATATTTAAAAAAAGTGAACACATGGCTATTATTGCTGAAGTCTCATGTTCCGGCGGGACGGATCAAATGCCAAAAACGAATCTGGAAATAAAAAGATTTTGTTGCTGTGCTGGGCCGCCACTGAAAACTGGAAAGCTATCTGCGAAGGACAGCCTCAGGTGGTACCGAGAGAGAGAGTATGGAACAGGGAGTAAGTTAGGTTTAGCGGAGCCCTCCGGCTTTTGATTCTTCCACCTACGACTAAACTTTGAGAAGCCAGTAGTATACGAGGAGATTCGGAAGTTCTGAATTTTAACTAATTTTTCGAAACCTTTATTTTTCTATTTAATAAAAAATAACACCAAGGCATTTTACAGGCCATTCAGAATACAAAACGGCGGAGACAGGCCACTTCTAGCGGGATTCACGGGTAATCTGTTGATCCGGTGTACATATATGTTCAAATGATCATATAAAACGAGTTTGTTGTAGTTCTCGTGATGGTAACGCTCACTCTCACTCTCAATTTTAACAATAAAACACAAACGGTTGTTCACATTCAAAATAAAGGACATTTATTATGTTTAAACCCAAATATATCTTCAACATTGGCTACACAACACACTCATACACATTTTTTATTGCAAAAATTTCTGTTTAACACGCGTACTTTATGTAAATTTATGTAAATATATATGTACGTAGATAAAAGAAAAATATTTGATTTATTTTATCATATTGTATTTAAACAAATCCCTTGAATATTTTTGCAATATTTCATATTTATACAATAATAAAGGCATTGTTTGTTGTTATTTACTACAAAATTACACATTACCGATGTTTTTTTGTTTGTTTTGTTGTTGTCTTTTACTTGTCTAGCACTATTTGATTATAAGTAAATATCTTTAGAGTATAAGAACATTAAAAAAAAATGTTTTTGTAATGCTTGCACATACAGTTATTCGACGTTAATTTTAATGCAAAAATGCGATTTCCAAAATTGTTTTCCGAATTTTCGAATACATACAAAATTTAAAAGTGTGTATATATATGTATATATGTATATGAGTATGCTAAGAATTTTGTCGGCAATTACTCCATATTGTTTGCTTTAAATATGTAAGTATACATTTTGACTTTCCAAGCGCAAAATTATGCTAAAAAGTTTTCAGAGCTTTTGATTTTATTTCATTTTTTAAATTTGATCAATCTTTTTTCTTACATTGTTTTTACTTGTAAAACGTTTTAGGTTTCAAACAATTTTGTTGCCATACCATTTTACTTAGCCACACACATATGTATAATATATGTATTTATATATATTTATTTATCTTAATTTCTGCGAAGCTGTACTTTTTGTTATAAAATTAATTCAGACAAAGACTGTAGTATATATATTTATTTATAAATAGCGCATAATTTCCATGTCTTGCCATGAAATTATAATCTTTAGGTACATCAATTTTTTTCAAATATTTATTTATTTTTTTATTTTCATTTAACCTGTATCTTCTGTTAAAGCAGCCCACAGCTTACAATACACACAGCTGTTTGTGTTCTTCTACCGTTTATAAACGGTTCATTAAAATGGCTTTACGGTTTTGCATTTTTGCAGCGGATTTTTTTACATTTTTGCAATTATTACTAATTATGCCTTTTTTCTGTATCATGTAAGTATAAATTTCGGCCAACGCCACACATTAATCAACATACATACGTACAAAAAGTAATTATTTTTTAAATTTAATTTACTCTTATTTCAAACTTTTAAATTTAGTGTTTTTATTTTGCGAATTTTTGGTTTTGTACTAAAAGTAAGCGTATAATATTTTAAATATAGAAAACGAAATGTAGGTTTTAAGAAATTTGTATAATGGTAAATTTTCGTAACATTCTTTTTTTAATAATATTTTTTTAATGCATAAACTAAATTAATGTTTTTTATAATTTTATTGTTTAACATGCTAAAATTAATTTTAATATTTTTTTACACTAAAGTATATATAAATTTATATGTATGTTTGCTAAAATTTTATTTGCTTCACTATGTGTATGTATATTTAGATTAATTTTAAATATATTTTTTCAGTTATACCGTTTTGATTTGCTAAATATTTAACAATTGGCTAGTTCTAAAAATATTGGTACTTTGGAATGCGTTACGAGAGCAGGGCTACAGCTACAATGAGAGTCATCGAAATAAATTAAAGTGTTTATAGGTATGTTATAAATATGACGAGCAGTTACATATAGTATAAGAGATGATTGAAAAGATTGGCAATTACTAAAATTAATATAGTTTCATGCTAACACTAGTAGTTTACTTTTGTTACATATATTTTTTTTTTCAAGTTTAACCTCAAAGTTTTGATTTCTTTGTGATTTTGTCTTAAGTTGTTGTTTTTGGTATACAAGTGGTACATTTATGGGTAAATTGTGTTAGTATTCAATATGTATGTGAGTAGACAGTGTCAGTTGCACTTAATTGCATGCATGTACATATGTATATCCATGTGTATACGTGTGCTTATGCACTTTGCGGACTGTCTGTGAGGCAAGAAGTGGTTTTTGATATATGCTTTAATATAAATATGTATTGGATAATATGTTAACATTTGCTTGTTTTTGTCTTTCTTTTTGGTATACATATACATATGCATATGCATATAATAATATGTTAACATTTGCTTGTTTTTGTCTTTCTTTTTGGTATATATATACATATGCATATGCATATGCAAAAACAACTGAAAAAACACAAAAATTGTATGTTATTACACACCGTTAGTGTGGCATGAGGGCGCATTCAAGCTTGCGGAATTGCAACGGTACACAATATTGCTGTGGAGGYGAAGTAGTTGGTGACATAAAATAGCGAAATAAAATAAAAGTTAAAAATTTATTGAAAAAATTATAAGAAAAACTGCGTAAGCATCACAATCACACAACGTAAACACATTTATACATTGACATATATTGCAAATGTTTTATAATTTATGCATGCAAACTTTTGTAAATAATAGTTTT